TATGAAAATATGAATCTTGACATTGGAAATGTACAGGGTTTATATTTCAAAGTTAACTCTCAAATTACAAATATTATTTTTTTCTGTGCAAATTCACTTTTAGTAATATTTGAGTATTTGTAAACGCAAAACAATAAATTCAAAATTTTATGTGACATTCCCGGATATTCTCATAATAACCTAAAATATTCCCAAAAATGGAATATTGATCTACTTTAATTAAATGTTTGCATGTCGATAATAACTTATCGATACATTATGGTACGATACTAATGGAATCCGCCATTTGTTCGTTCAATTTTTGTTTAGGTATGCACGTTCATTCCGTAGTTAGAGCATCTCCTTTCTTTTATTTTTTTCCATCCTTTAAGATTAAAACCCAATCAACCCGCTCGGGATTTAACTGGGTTTTTACCCAAAGTGTTAATGATTTTTAACCCGTTTCTGCCCAAGGAAACGGCGATTATGGAATTTACCAAATTCGTTAGTTTTATACTTATTACAAATTTTGATGTAAATAATTTTTTGTAGACGAAAAGAGGTAACTCCATACAAACCAACTTGCAGTCCTATGAATTTTCACTACTAAGGACAGACATTACGGTTATATTTTTATGAAAATCTATTTAAGTGCATACGGTTTTCAAGCGACTTGATTCAACAACACGGCAAATCGTATCGTCTAGGTTAGAAAGCAATAAACATTTTGTAATAATATCATTAAATTTGAACAAAACTCTATTTACAACAGACATTTAGGTGTAAATAGTTTTTGCTCTCGGATTCAGTCATTAATGGGGTTTAACCCGATAAAAAGTCGGCGTTAACAAAGCGCCGGGATAAAACCCCGGTGGTTGCCCAGCCCAGTATAGGCTTTCGTATAAGATTGGCCGGAGAGAGAAACGTTGCCCTGTAGTGAAACAGTGACCGACCGGCGTCGAGGTGCCGAACCCGTCTGGCTCCGCAGCGAACGAGCGCGTGCTGATGATGCGGCTGTACCTGCTGCAAGGCATCGTGGCCTACCACCAGAACCAGCGCGCGGCGGCGCGGCAGCTGCTGGAGCGCGCGGAGGCGGAGCTGGGCGCGCTGCGCGTGGACGAGGCGGCGGCCGCGGCGCTGCTGGAGCTGGGCTGGTCGCCGGCGCAGGCGCGCGGCGGGCTGCGCGCGGCCCGGGGCGACGTGGACGCCGCGCACCACCTGCTGTGCGCGCGCCGGGACCAGCGCGACGAGGCGCGCCGCCAGCACGCCGAGGACAGGTCCGTCGCTCCCTCGCTCCCTCGCACGAGACTGCGTAGTGGGTGCTTGGAGTTATGGGTCTCGTTTTCTAACAAATTAACAAGCTGCAGTTTATTCAAGCGATTCCTTATTCCTAGTGATAACAAATTAGTTCACTAGATGGCGCTTCCTGCACAGATTTTTATGGATAATGTCGGCTATTCTTTTATTTTGTTTAGGACCAGCGCACTCTACCCATATTACAAAGCGTTAAAAACTCATACAATACCATCCATTAACACACATATTTACGGAAGGTTAAAAACTAATTTTACCTCATGGTTAATCTTTAAATAATATAAACTACTTCTAGGCCATTGACCAGCGCCATCTAGATGTAAGACGGGATTTTGATCTTTTCTAGAGCTACGATCTTGTAGTGTAGAGACTAGCAGTCCTCTTCACTTATTGATCCATGCTAGAACTCATTACCGCAAAGAAAAAATAATAAACAACAATAAGGAAGTAGCTGTAAAGGTATAACTGGGTGACCGAGTACTTAAAATTTCTCCTAGATGGCGCTACGGCTAAAAAGTCGTTGAAAAAAACCAAATACAAAGACACGACAACATGCACATAGAAAAATTCGTCAGATCCGTAGGTTCACTGCGTTGCATAGTTGGTATAGGTTCTGGCACGCTATGCTAGAAGACGTCGGTTCGAATCCGGCCGGACCGAAGGAATTTTTTCTGAGTGTTTGACCTTTGTATTAATAATTATAACAAACTAGTAGAGAATTTCACATAAAAATAATTAAATAAAAATTGAAACAAAAGGGTTGAAAGTACACCATAAACACCGTGCAGTAGTCGCACCCGCAGTCCGCTTCGTTGTGTGCTGAAGCGCGCGTGTCCGCAGGCAGGCGCGGCTGCTGGGCGTGTGCCTGGACGGGTCGGCCGTGAACGCGCGCCTGGTGGACGGGCTGGTGGCCATGGGCTACGGCCGCCGCCTGGCCGTGCTGGCGCTGCGCAACGCCAACAACCACGTCTCCGACGCCGTGCGCCTCATCCAGGACCAGCCCGACATGGTGAGCTTTGCTGCGACCGCAGAACAATACGTACCGAAGTGCCACAAGTAGGTCTCGTTAGACTTACTTGAGGTCAGGCCGCCATTTTCGCTTTGTGTGGTATGGTCGTGTCATTCTTTCGCGCAAAGTCTCTAAAATCGCAGAAAAGTGCTGGGTTTTTAGTGCAAAAAAATAGCCGCACCAAAAATATTATCCGTAGTAGTATTTCATATCATCATTTATCGGGTTTTCGCGTTACACAGGAAATTAACCTATTTTTCCGGATTTAAATCGCATATGTTTGTTTTTTCAAACAAACCGACGTTTCGGGCCCTTCACAGATCCCATGGTCACGGTAGACTGAGGTGGTAAAATCATCAATCAGTTGTCTAATATTAATGCAAATTACCCTATTTTTTTCACTATAGTCACAAAAGTTGTTAATTGAATACTTTATTTTTAATTTTACAAAGAAACATTCCAATTTACGCTACATTACGTTTTACAAATTATTTTTACAATATGATTTTTTATTAAGTTAAATTTATTATAAATTAATAATGGAAATTAGAATAAATCTGTTTGGGATTTTTCATCAGAGGAAATACTGGACCCCAGACTGGTGGTACAAAGAAACCATCTTCCCTGTTCAAATTTTCAATTTTCTGTTTATCGAATTGATTCTTTGTACACCACAAACGAAAATAAACATTATCTCTGAGCAATATGGTTGAGTTGTATCTTTTGGAGAACTAAGTAAACATCTTGGAATTTAAAAAGACAACTGTTAGTTAACTGTAGCTAGTGTCGAGAAGATACTACTTTCTATTCATTCGGATGTTACTCGTTCGTCGTAGTTCAACTACTAATAATAATAATAATAATAACGTTTTTTCCTCCACAAAAATACGTACATATAGATCTTAGTAATTAAGATACATCCAATAACTTATTTTTGGGAGCTGGTGCTTGTTAAAGGCTTAACGCCTGTACTACAAGTCACCAGGCTCTCACCCTTGGAAATGACACATGACAATCTTAAGGTATTACTAAGATTAATTGTTTATAAAAGAAAAACATTTAAATAGTACTGGCCGCAAGATGGCAGCACGTTAAATAAAATTTCAATATAAAATCAAAACACCGTAACTTGCAATAAAGGTGAATTTTCAACGATACAGCGACTGGGTAAAGTTTAAGTTATATTAACAATCTAGAATATGTTATATCTTTTTAAATTAGAAATTATGACCAATCATTATCAAGATTTGTTTATCATTCGCTTGTAATCGAGGCTTAAGGCACTTCCGTAGCTGCGACCGACAGACGCCTGCCATTTAAAAGAATTGTTAACTCTCCTTTAAAACGATACCTCAAATAGTATTTTATGCAATAGTTGCATAAAGTCGAATACCGTGTTTAAGCTAATAATAGGTACGAGATTTTAAAACCTAATTATGTGATACTTTTTCTGCGAGTAAATTAAAATAATGAAACGTAACCGATATTTCAAGTTAATTTTCTTAACAATCCACGACAACAAACGCAAACGAAAAAACCAAAGAGATAGATGTGTCCGTGATTGGTCGAGTACTGCCTATATTTTAACCAATCAGGAGGCGTCAGAGCGTTTCAGTTGCCTCATATTTGATATTTGAATTAAACAAAATACGACGTTCATTTTTTGAAACTCATAGTTCCGTTAATGACATTTTTCATTTTGGACCGAGCGCCATTGACAATAGAACTTTAATTCAGAACTAAAAAGAGCGCCTTTGAGATATGGCTCCTTCCCTGGACGAACACTTTCACAAAGAACTCTACAATAATAATTATTTGAATGACGTTAAAATAAGGAAAATTTTCTTTACAATATTTCTGATTTATTGTTTTATACCAGCGGACCGCTTTGTCCAATCACGTTCCACTCAAATTTAATATAGCACTTTCGCCGTCAATTTCTCTTTTACTGCCTTGTGACCTAATCTTTAATCGTTCCTTGTTATTAGTTGGTGGACAGCGAGCAATCGTCAGAAGAAACAGAAACGCCCAGCTCCGACGACTCTGCCGTTGAACCGGACTCCAAATTGCTTTCCGAGGTAAATCATCTATTATTGACTTTATAATATTTTTTTGAAATCTGGATAAGTGTTAGTAGTGTCTTTGGCTGAAATCATAGAGTGTCAAATCATTACGGTGACAACTGCTCTCCTATTGGCCAGCCCGAATTCAAAACAATTGACGTGTGTCATCAATGTTTCACTTCAAATCGACAAGTTTAAATTGCGCTTTGCTATAATGGAAGAAAATTGAAAAATTACATATTTAATATTTAATTATAATTACCGATGAAATGTGATTCCGTTTGTTTTGTTGTTTTGCTGTTTTTCCCAATCCACCGAATGGAACTATTGTTAGAGATTATTATCTTTATTATTATTTATACAGAATATTTTTGGAATATACGGAGACGCACACGCAGGTCAGTTGTTGGCGCTGTACTACTCGTATTTCAGCTTTCTAATTAGTGATTTCAGTGCAAACGAGAGTTGACATTTAACAGTGATACAACGACCATTTGCCTGATGGGTTGCCAGGGATGGATGGCCTTTATTTCGTCTCTATTTCTGCTTATATACTCGATGGTTGACATTTATAAAACGACATTTGACTTCGACTTGGCAAAAAAAGCGAACTGAGCAAACAAAACGAACTTTTGTATGATTATTAATGCAAAGGTCGAACACATAGAAAAAATTTCTTCGACCCGATGGGGCTTGAACCCGCGACCATATTCCACCGTAGTATTGCTCTTACCAACTAAGCTACGGGTCAAGTTACCGAGTTGTCAAAATTCTCCTATGTGTTTTTGTAAATATTGTACTGGATTTTTCGGTTCAAGTCTCATCAGAATAATTAACTTAAAACTAATTATTATTATAGCTTTTTTATCACTGATTGACGGACTGTGGGTTCAAGTTTTTATTTTTTTATTTCACAACAGTTGCAGTGCCACTCAGGGCTTTAAATCGCAAAGATCTGAAGGGCGCTGCCACTGCGCCCGTCACCCTGAGACAATTATGTTAGCAAGTCCCATGTGCCTGTAATTTCACCAACACCCTTACCCTTCAAAACCGGAACGCAGTAATGCTCACATTACTGCTTGGCAAATAGGCAAGGTGGCAGTACTTCCCTGGACGAACTCTTTTACAACAAGCTCTACTGCTGCTGGTTCTTCTAGTTCGTTCTAGTTCTTTTATACAGATTTAATCGGTTAGAAAGAAAGACTTAATCATCTTGGTCTAATAATGAAGGCCTTGACTCTCCATTTTTATCGTCATCACTCAGAACAATACTAGGCCGCCTCTAAGTTCTATATCAAGTCTGTACTGTCCACCCAGTTAAGAAAGCCTACACATCCTACACCATCGTCGGGATCCCAGTCAATGTCCTCATCTTGCCGGTACTATCATAGCCCTACCTAATTAACTTGGTCCCATTTGAGCATAGAAAGTTGACAATTAGTTTTAACATTGTTGACCGATGAAACTCCGGCGAATTTTTGTTTGTGAATTGATTTTGACGATTCTTTTTTTGTTGGAAAGAGGGTACCTCAGCAGTGGTCCTATTTCAATTTGAAAAAAAATTTCCACCTCTATGGGTGGCAAACTAGGGGATGAATGACTTTTGAGGTCGGTTTTTTGAGATTATGTCAAATACATTCTGCCCTCAGCTAGAAGCAATGGGCTACGTGACGGAAGAAGCGAAAGCAGCTCTTCGAGTGACCGGCAACCGGCTGCCCGAGGCCGCAGACCTCTTACTCGCCGGTGGGGGCCACGTCGCTGAAGGTAAGGTCCATAAAGCTGTACAACCATTGGTTTAGTGAGACAAGACATTCAAATTATTGTAGGTTATTATATATTAGCTTACACAAATTAATTCATTAAAAAAAACAAATAGTTGAATAGAACGTAATGTTTAGTCAACTGTACAAATTTTATAAGCATGGAAGGAATCATTCAACCTTGAACAAAACAACAGTTTCAGCAAAATATATAATAAAATTATTGACATTTATTAGTAAGCCACTGCTTTTGATATATCTTTATTTAATTTTTATCACGTTTGCGATATAATAATATTATAATTAAGGATATTCGTTAGGATTTTTTTTTGTCGTTTCTTCTTCAAACATCATTGAAATTATAAATTAAATTATGTCAGTTTGACCCTACTGTATTATGCACTTCAATTTTAATTATTGCGACTTAATTTTTTATATTACTTTTAACATATTTTAATGGTGTAATAATTAAAGAAATTAAATTATTAATAAATGAATTATGAAAAAGTAAATCAATATGGGTATTTTACAAAAATGTCAAACACAAGTCTCGTTAAGGAAAATTTCCCAAAGAATGATTTAGGGCGCACGCTGGTGTTGTCCGAAATCGCTTTTGGTCTTGTTCTTCCATTTTTGCAGTCCACCACCTAATCGCAGGAAGACCGAGAATAAGATAAAGGCTGAGAATAAGATAAAAACCAGGTGTAAAGACGCCTTGGTCTTGTATTGGACAATACTGGTGCACGCTTACTGTCATCATATCTCTTTTCCTCTGGACTAGGCAGAGGCTATGGATCCCCAGCAGCAGCGCTCTTCATGTACCTCTTTGATTTCCTTGCTCGCATCTTTAGACCGTTTGTTCAAGATAATATCTTATGTATTTACTTTTATTGCCCATAGCAATGTCCAGCTCTAAGACGGCTTCAGATATTCCCCAATCTGCTCTACCAAACGACAGTAGTACGTATTAGTGGTTTTGTTTCGGAATGCCTAATAACTTAAAGGTTTAACAGAAATGTCTAACAATACTCCAAATGGTGAGTTGTTAAATTAAAAATCGCCAAAACAAGTTTCTGTTCTTACAATTCCTTTTGAATCCATTATACAGAAAAGGTCACTGACCCGATCATAGACAGTTTAGTGATAGCAAGTTGTACTGTCAATTACAATTAATCCACTAATTAATCGTATGAATTAATAATAATAATAATAATAATAACGCACACATTCATACTGATTGATTTGATTTAATTGATTTGTGTAATTGAATCAGTTGGTATAATAGTTCTTTTTGCGATTACGCTGCTGATTCTTACCTTTGAAATCTTCAAAACATACTTGAAAATGTTACGTATTTTGTGTATTGAGTGATTGCAATTTTGCTTTCTTCGTTATGTTCAAATCAATTATCTCGCGCAAAACCTTTAAAATCTTAGAAGAATGCCTTTTTTCGCAACTTTGGAGTGCAAAAATTATGGTCGCACTTGTAATATTATTTATGCTGGTGTATCGTATCATCACCAAGTATTATTTTATTTACTTTTAATATATTTTCAATTTTGTGTTTACAAAAATGAAAGTAAACCTTATATCGATGCAATATGGTCGCTTCTTGTTTGGAGAACTCAGTAAACATTTCTAATTCGTTGTCGTTCAGCTATTAACCGCTAGATGGTAGCACATTGATTGAAATTTCAATTTTAAATGAGAACGTCGTAACTTCCTATAATAGGTATTGATGGTGTTGAATTTTCAACGATATGCCAACAAGGTAAAGTTTAAATTGTATTAACTGTTGGAATATGTCCATAAACTGCGTGCAGTGAACCGCAGTGACGTCGACGCGCGCCCTCTAGTGTTTTTTTACATGTTCTCATATACTGTCATGTCACTCGTGAGTCGTGTGTGTTCTCTTGGTTGTAACCGTTTGCAAATTAAACTATTATACTTTTACTTACAATTACTCTTTTAATTACTACATTAACTACCAGAATTTGTTATTTCTTTTTAAATTTGAAACTACGAACAATCATTATCAAGATTTCATTGCGTTTAAAATTATGAATGTATAGTTTTGGCGACAGCGGTTCTGATAGTAATCGAAGTTTAAGGCATTTCCATTTTTTTTTTCATCCGTGAATAATATACAAGCAGTCCAACTCCCGCCTGTTAAGCGCGGCAATGCGTACATGCTCAGAGCGTAGGATTATCACGTTATTATTTTACTTTTTCATTAATTGTCTTATTATCCAATGGTTAAGATGTTAAAATAAGGTATGAGTAAACAGATGATATCAAATACTTCTACGTGTAATATTTTTGTGCAGCCATTGACTTACAATTATATGGACGTCGAGTCCGCGCTAAAAAATGTCCGAACTTATAGGGCGTTAAAATCGTATACAGAGCGTCGTTCACGCTTTAGTCTTCGTTTGTTCGACTGATAGCGAAGCAAGCAAATTTAGACAGTACTGCGATGACATTACAATTTAAGTTCAACGTTTTAGCTTTTTCATATTCGTTTACATGTCACTACGTTTAAATAGGTTGACTTGGGACATTTTTTTCGTGGTTTATGTATTAGACCCGTCGTCCATTTATTTGTAAGTCAATGTGTGCAGCTATCATTTTTGCACTCGAAAACAATACAATAAGGCATTTTTGTACGATTTTAGAGAATTTGCGCGAAAGAATGGCACAACCATAGAATACAAAACGAAATTGGCTGACTGAGCTCAAGTAGGTCTAACGAGACCTACTGTTGGCACGCATCTAACGCTAACTAACCACTTCTACCGTATTTATTGTTCTGTGTTATTATTATACTGTGTCTTAACGCTGGTACTAAATTTGAACTTGCTACACAAATGTTATCACCTGTCTTCCACGCGGCACGGAATTATTTTGCTTCCTTCATTATCCACTGATATATTGCACCCACCTAAACCAAGACTTCATACCGGTAACCTATCACAAACTCGAATTTTTTTTTCCGAAATAACGTTTGTTAGAATTTTCATTACACCGAAAACCGAATTATAACGAAACCGTTGTTCTTTCAGGATATGTTGGAAAGACACGATTAGGTTCGTTTAGGTTAGGTTAAGTTAGGTTTCAAAGAAAAAACATTTTCCTCTTAAAATTACTTTCGAGGTTATGAAAATTCGAACTAACGTTATTTCTGGAAAATGTCATTTCGGACTATTAATATCCCCTGGTAACCCCATAATCCATCAGAAACAGCAGAGAGCACCCTCAAATAATAAAGTGACACAATTCGAAAAATGGCTTTTTATAAAGTAACGTACGTACGAAATAACCTAATATATCGTTTTTCATATTAAATAAATGCCATGAAAGAATTAACTTTGGCATATACGTATATGGCATGTAAGTTATATGTTTATAAAGAGTCCGTCCAGGGAAGTACTGCTACCTTACCTATCGCGTTCCGGTTTAGAAGGGTAAGGGTACTGGTGAAATTACAGGCACATGGGACTTGTCAACTTATGTCTCAGGCTGACGGGTGCAGTGGTAGTGCCCTAAAATCTTTGTGTTATCTATAGGCATGTCGCTTACCACCAGGCGCAGGACTTGCCCGTCCCACTTGGTACTAAAAAAAATGCTTCTTAATTATAATCATGTCGCTGCGTCGTGTATATAAAAATAACAAAATCTTCTTGTTTGTTTCAAAACTAACTCTTTGGATACCTCTTTTGGATGAACAAATCATGTCAGAAATTAACATATTACGCTTTCTGTACCTTATTAATCTGCGGGCGTGTGTGCGTGCATGCGTACGTGTCGTAGTTTGTTAAAACTTTGTACAATGAAGTCTTGTAATTTTACAGCAGACGCTGCGAATCCTTCGACGAGTTCTGGCGCTCCACCGAAGCGTCGCATCAAGCGCAAAGTTGATAGCCGCAGGTATGTATTCATTTTGATTTATCAGACAGCCTCATTTACTCGTATGCTTATCGTAGTTCAAATATCACTGAGCACAATAATTGCATGATAATTATTATTATTGTCTATTTTAGATTCTCGCCTCTCCAGTAGTCTAAAAGACAAATTTTGAATAATTTTAATGGGAGATGTGGTGTCCCCGACATTGGGGCAATCATGCTAGGGGCATATTATTGTTACTCGTTTTGATTATTTTTTTTTCTTGTCAATATAATTTGTTTACTTTGTAATTTAAACGCATTTTTGTATTAAATATAATATGGCTTTCACGCCTATGCTTATTTTTATACACTTCTAGCTTTTCATGTTGATTTTAAGTACATTTACGCCTTAGAGACTTCAAATTTTGATATTAGATAAAATATATTGGGCCGTAAAATGTAATATTTTAGAAATATCAAGGTTTTACATATACTGTTTAGAAAAGGCTTAAAAAACTGAACAATACAGTATTTATAACGCATTTTTACATTTTTTCCTTTACACCAATGGAATCTACAGGTATCGATTTATTTTGCCTGCGATATTCGATTTCATGACTTCCTTTTCTTCAAATGATTAATTGTAGACCCATTAGACATGCCGTATTTAATTTGTTTCACAACAATACAATTACTGTTTTTTTTCTATTAGAAAAATGGAAATTGTATTTATTTGGTATCATTTCCTTATGACTAGCAATATAAAGTAGTATTGATTGTTGTTGATTAGGTTTTGCCATCGAGTATATAACCAGAAATAAAGACGAAATGTCATTTAATTTGCTTGAAAACTTCTGCCAAATCATTACGGTGATAACTGCGCTCCGATTGGCCAGGCTGAATTCGAAACAATAAACGGGTGTTGTAATTCGTTTCATTTCAAATCGACAAGTTTCACTTGAGCTTTGTTATAATGGACGATAATTGAAAAATTACGTATTTAATATTTAATTACCGATGAAACGTGATT